TGGCGGACGATGCTGGGGCCGGTCCTCGCTGCCTCGGGAGCCCCAAAGGAGGTTAGGGCGGCTGTCTGCCCTTCGTGGATGTGGCGCTCGGGCGGGAGCGATGGAAGCTCCGCCGGGGACCGCGAACCGGCTGCGCTTGTAGCCGCGTTCTGTGCTCCCGAAACGGCCTTCGCAGGGGGTCTGTGCCCCGGGCGGGGCCGCAGCCGCCGCCCCACCGAGTCCGCCGAGGTCCTCTTCTGTTGCCACACAGTAGTTTGGTTTTTAACTTCGGAACGGGCCCTGTTATTCAAGTGTTTCGTCAGCTGATAAATATTTCCCTAAAAGAAGCATTTTCAATATACCGAGTTCCTCTGTTATCAGCAAAAACTTTTCAGATGTGTTATTTCAGCTAAAATTCTTTGTGATGGCTAAGCCACGTTAATTCTTTCTCTCTGTCATGCTTAAGACTCCATTGTCGAGCCTAGTGGGGAATCTCTCCCATTGAATTAAATACTAGTGCCTAGGTTTAGCATGCATTTCCCCTGCATGGCTGCCTCGGGTATTTATCGCTCCCATCACTTCAGCGGTCAGCAGAGTTCAGCGCATTGTCTGCTGAAGAATGAAAAGTATTACTGGTCCTCATGCTGCAGTGAAGATTCCTAAAATGTGATTTGGGAATGAGAATGAGAGGAGGAGACATACATTTTTAGAAAGTTGGGGAAGTTCAGTATTGATTACTGCAAACACTTTCTAGAGAAGAGGCAAGAATTATCCTCACGTTCCTGAACATAGAACTGGAATGGGGGCCATTCCCCGGGAGACAAATTTCTTTCTCACCTGCCTAGATGATGTAACATGAGGACGTTTTTCACAACTTTCTTGAACTTTTCTAAAACTGTAATAAGGCTAATTTATTGGCTAGCTGTGTCATAATACATGTGAAATGAAACATTCTTGAAGAAGAAGTCTAAAACTTGGGTTCTTACAACTGGCATATTCTGTCAGAAATTTGCTTGGAACCGAGTTGGAGGGTTTTTTTTTTTAATCTTCAGGGTTATATATGCACTGTGGTCACTTGAAATAAAAGACATTAATTGTCATGATAGATTACCAAGCTTTTCAAGTCCATTAGTTTCTTATACAAATACAAGCAAGTAGCATAACTTCTGTTTATTTAACTTCACTGAGTCTGGCATTGGCTTGTGCATATTTCTGGGGTGTATTGCAAGTATTTTTAAGGATTAGGATCATTCAGAGTGGAAGAGTCCTCAGGAGGTCTGTAGTGCAATCTCCTGCACAAAGCAGGGTCAGCTATCAGGTCAGACCAGGTCACGCAGGGTTTTGTCCCATTCAGTCTTGAAAATCTCCAAGAATGGAGACTGCACAAGCTCTGAGCAACCTGCTCCTGCTTGACTGTCCTCAGAACAAAGAGGTCTGCACCTCGTTTTTTCAGTTTGTACCTGTTCTCTCATTCTTCCACCACACATGGCTCTGAAGAACCCAGCCCAGTCTTCTTCTTAGTGGGTGGATGAACTTATACCTAGAAACACAAATCTGTCTCTCTACAATGTAGCTAGGTTGCCTTTTTTTTTTTTTTTTTCCTTTTAAGTTCTTTTCCTGAAGTAAGATTTCTTTGGGTGAAAGTATAGCACAGCCTCTGGAATAATTGCTTACTAAAATCATACAGGACTCATATTTGATCTTAAATGTCTGCACGTTCCAATCAGTTTTTTTTTTTAAGTGTACTTATTATCAGAAGACAGTGTTGAATAGGGATTCAAATAACTGCAGGTAAATTGGATAGCAGGTATTCATCTGAGTCCAATGAAAACCAGTGAGAATGAGAAATGGATAGCCAGGGAACTGAAGGAGACAGACTTGGGTTATTTCTAATAGGTCTGGTCATTGAAATTAGGATGAGGGGTGTTATGAAGAAGATGAGACTTGATGAAGATGTGGAGTCATACCCTTTTGGGATGAGGGTGCAGTAAAAGCTGTAATAAACAGAAGAAGGGGAGGAAAGTGATCACCTAAACCCTGGGGGTTTTTTTTAAGTATTTCTGTATAGGGATCTGTATGTGCTAGCACACATACAACTTCCTCTGATCTCTTATCTGTCTTATGATAGAGAAACTTCTATTTACTTTTTCTTGGTGATTTTAAACTCTTTAAAATATGTTTCTGAGGTTTGGAAGAACACAAGTACTAAGTGTAGGTAATATTTGCTTGTCTGTATTCTGGTAGTTTTGCTGTATGAGAAATTTGTACATAGGGACAAGGTGAACTAAAAGAATACAGTGTATCCTTTTAAAAAATAAAAGATGTAGCAGGATCCAGGTACATAGTTAGGATGTAGCTGAGGCTGGTAGTGAGATATATAGAGCCAGCAAAGTAGTTCTCCACCAGCACAGGGACAAGGTTCTGGTTTTGGCCATAGGTTCCTCTTGCCTAGCTTGCTCTGGTGCTCTTCAGCACCCTCCGAATTAAATGTACTGAGCCAACAGACTTATGCTGGTGAATAGCTGGATGGGTTACTGCCATTTCTGGCGGGTTTAAACAACTCAAACTGGAATTTCATTCTGACCAGAGCGGGCGTGAGGAAGGCAGCTTCTGCAGTGCTTCAGCTGGCTGTGGAAATCAGGCTTCAGGCCCTCGCCCAGGGACCGAGCCTGTCCTCAGGGAACTGCCTGCCTTCTGTGTGTGTGTTTGTAGATGGTAGTGCAGTATCAATATGGACATTCATGGAAGTGGTTAACCTGTGAAAACTTTCTATTCTGACCCTAAACGTCATTTAATTTGGCAGTCTTCATGGAATGATTAGATCAAATTGAGGGAGTCACTGGGGACTCAGTCTCATTGACTATGAGCATGTATTAGCAACTAGATATGAAGTAGGAATTAACTCTGTGAATGAGGCCTACTAGGAAACAGGTACAGGAAGTGGAGGAAGATAATGTCTAATGTTAAATGTGTGATGGGGAAGCTATTGAAAGTAGTATGTATACTGTAAAAAGTGTGTAAACTTGCTGGAGTGTTAGAGCTGCTGCAATGGTAAGAATGAGAAGTAGGCTGGCAAGGAACTGACTGAAATGAGTATGGGCTGTGTGTAGTAGGCTTGTTCGTTGAGGATGGGATAGTGAGTATTTGGAAGGGGTGGAGTCATTTATCTTCAAGATCTGTCCACAAAAAAAATTCTTTCGGAGTTAGTAAGTATAGAACTATGCTTCTGGATGCTTTAAGTGTTTGCTTTTCAGCTTTTAATTCCTCTGCTCTTACCTACATAAGTTTATTATATTAGAAGCAAGCACTTACTGTCTTCAGTACTCAGATATACCATATTTTAGACAGCAAAAGTTATTTGCTGTGTGCTTGCTCTCCTAAGTAACAGTTTCAAAATCTGTAGTGAACTAACTGCACACCAGAAGTGTGTAAGACAATGTAACAGAAATTGTCATTAAACTTTCCATTTTATTGAGAGTTTCCCTAAGGGGGAGTCTAAATAGCCTGTCTTCCTGAAATTTGGGCAGGAGTTTAAAAATGAAGATTCCTTACTCAAAACATGTACTTGACATGTGTGATGCCACAATTGCCTTTGTAAAGCCCATAACAAGGCTCTAAAAAGAACCTAACAGTTTTTTGGGCGATACATTTGTGAGTGGTTGTTAACCTGCTGGTCATAGTTCAGTCACAGGCTTCCAAAGTTCTTATTCCTTTGGTGTGATAGCTGCTATGTAATAGGTTTCCAGGAAGGTACATGTTCTTTATATGTTGTATTTCTAAGAGGATGTGTGTTCTGTTTATGTTTTATTTCTTAACTCGTCTCATAATGGACCAATAATGCATATGTAGATCATTTTAATATGGTAAGTCTTATTAGGTAGCTAAGACTTTACCTGTGATTATAAAACACAAGTAAAAAAAGGTCAAAAATTTGTATTTTGATAGGTTTTGGGTTTTTTTGGGGTTTTTTTTTTTGCTATGCTGTTTTCTGTTAACTGGATGGACACTGCAGTTGTTTTAAAAGGAAAGTTGATTCATCTTAAAGTTTAACACATGCTTTCTGGTGATTGTATACAATAAGCTGCACCCTTTTTTATGCAGGAGACGTACGAGAATATTCCAGGTCAATCTAAGATCACGTTCCTTCTACAAGCAATCAGGAATACTGCTGCTGCTGAGGAGGTATGTCTCAATAATCTTTGAATTCTGCAGATGTTCAAGGAAGCTTGGACAGAAGAAATCAATGCCAATCGTTTTGGGATAAATGAGCAAGTTGGACTCAATCATCTAAACTTACCACACGTTTGTAGAGGGACCACTTGTCTGGTTTGTTGCATGCCAAGTTCACTTGCTGAGACTTTTTGATGGAGGATATGTAGTTTCAAAAGTAGTCTTTTGTAAGTAACTGCTTAGGTCTCCATTGTTTTCTGGTCGTGTGTTTTGCTTAATAAATGGGTTCTTTAAATGTGTAACTAATATATGACTGTTACTGTGATGTTCCTGCAAGTTCCAGCTGAGAAATGCTTTCTGTTTTGGGGTCCTGTGACTAAATATGTTAAACTTGTGTATCATCTGAAACTTCTTGTGCTTCTCAAATCAGAATTATGGGGAGATAAGGTAGTAGTTGTTTTGCATATTTTATTCAGATGACTGTTGTATTTCCTCCTGTTTGGGGAGGATATGCTCATTAAGTCATCTAGCACTAGCAGTGTTGTAGAGTGGACAGAGAGCAGTCTAAGCACTGTATAATTTTTTTCTGTGGGCATACAGTAAATGTGCCTTTTAGATATTTTTTTAAAGGCTCACACTTCAGCAATCAGGTACTTGTTGGTAAAGCTATCACCTGGCTATGCGAAATAAAGAACTACTAAGCTTTCAAGATATTACAAATTTCAGAGTCACTTAAAAGTAAAAACATTTGACTTCTTTTCTTCCCAGTCTAGTTTTACTGGACAATGTAATGCTGTTTGTTTCACTCTGGATAATGATCTTTTCTGGTAGACTGTATTAAATTTAGAGGTAGATGCTATTTGTGCTTTTTAATGCTCAGCAAGTGTCAGCTTACTAATGCTGATGCTTATCTACCTACAAAGCTGTGTTCTTCTGATAGAATCCTTCAGTATTATCGTAGCAACTGGTTGCGTAAGAGCTCTGTAGTTTTTCCTCCTGCCCCTCTGAGATGTTTCAAGATAAAGATGGCTGTGGAGCTGTCTCTCCTGTATTTAAATTTGCCATGACAAATAAGATCTACCACTGCTGCTTTTTCATCAGAATAATATCATCTAATAATCAGATAAGACTATGTGCTAGAAGTTGTAGCTGCATTTCACATGCTTGTTTTGAATATATTTGATAAGTCTGACTTAACTACAAAGTCGTGCTTGTGTAAATAAATAGTTGCTCCCTGTATTTATTGATCTCATTCCCTTTGCATCTGCTAAGGAAATAGCCCAGTCTAAAACTCATTCAGAATGTTGCTGATGACTTGGCTTTCAACTTACTCAAGTGCAAAGAAACTTTTCACCTGTAGAAGTTACTCTTACCAAAGCCATCAGAGGTTAACATTTGTAGAAAAACTTGGCATTTAACTCCACCAATGGATAAATCAAGGAAAGGTCTGTTAGCCCCTGACTTCAGGAGATGTTCAGTGCTCAACTCAAAAACTTCTGATGAATAAAACCTGCAAGCAGCCTCTCTTCCCTGTGAATCCAAATACACAGTAGCCTGACTAGAGTGAAGGCATCCCCAGGCTTGATCTAAACACTGCCTATAAACACTCGGGGAAGCATGCTGTGCCTGTTCAGTGTAGTGCTGGTACCAAGAGCTAGGCATTTTGTGTCTCCATATGTTTTATGTACACCCAGATGCCAGATGGAATAGTGCATCTGTCACCAGTGGGCAGGGCTTTGGGCTGGGTAGGTGTCCTCTGAACACATGGAATGTACCAGCACTACTGAACACAGACTGCTCGAAGAATCTTTGATCTTTAAAGATCCCTCGCCCAGGCTCTGGGAAAGCTGGGTTCAGATCCCTCTTCATCCCAAAGCCTCTGTATTGCTTTATACCCTCCCAGGAAAATTAGGTTGAGGAAGATACTCCATTCTGTTTGCAAGATCTGGGCTGCTGTGTTGTATAGAATACAAGATTCACAGGAGCCTTTGGGCAGCAGCTGGGAATCTTGACTCTGCAGCCTCGTAGTTTTGGTATTTAGATAAAGAATCATAGAATCAGTATGGTCGGAAAGTATGCTAGGATCATCAAGTCCAGTTTCATCCCAGCATTTCCCTAATCACTAGACCATAGCCCCAAGTGTTACATCTACTTGTTTTTTGAATACCTCCAGGGGTGGTGACTCTACCACCTCCCTGGGCGTCCTGTTCCAGTGTCTAACCACTCTCAGTGAAGAAATTCTTCCTAATATCCAATCAAAACCTCCCCTGGTGCAACTTGAGGCCATTTCCCCTCATCCTATCATTAGTAATTAGGGAGAAGAGACTGACAGCAGCCTCACTACAACCCCCTTTTATGTAGTTGTAGAGAGCAATAGGGTCTCTTCTCCAGACTAAACAACCCCAGTCCCCTCAGCCACTCCTCATAAGGCATGTTCTCCAGCCCTCTCACCAGCCTCACTGCCCTTCTCTGGACCCGCTCCAGCACCTCCATGTCCTTCTTATCCTGTGGTGCCCAGAACTGGACACACGACTCAAGGTGCGGTCTCACCAGGGATGAGTCCAGGGGCACCATCACCTCCCTGCTCCTGCTGGTCATGCTGTTTCTGATACAGGCCGTGATGCCATTGGCCTTCTTGGCCACCTGAGCACACTGCTGGCTCTTGTTCAGCTGGCTGTCCACCAACCCCCCCAGGTCCCTTTCTGCCAGGCAGCTCTCCAGCCACTCCTCCCCAAGCCTGGAGTGCTGCCTGTCACCCAAGTGCAGGACCTGGCACTTGGCCTTGTTGAACCTCATCCAGTGGTCCTCAGCCCATTGCTCCAGCCTGTGCAGATCCCTCTGCAGAGACTTCCTGCCCTCCAGCAGAGAGACACTCCCACTTAACTTTGTGCCATCTGTAAATTTACTGAGGGTGCATTCGATCCCCTCGTCCAGGCCATTGATAAAGATATTAAACAAGACCGGTCCCAAAACCGCGCCCTGGGCTCCAGCCTGTGCAGATCCCTCTGCAGAGACTTCCTGCCATCCAGCAGAGAGACAGTCCCACTTAACTTTGTTAAGTTAAGATATTGAACAAGACCGGTCCCAAAACTGAGCCCTGAGGGACACCATTCGGGACTGGTCGCCAACGGGATTTAGCTGCGGTCACCACAACTCTCTGGGCTTGGCCATCCAGAGGAGAAACAGGGATTCAGATCCTGCTCCCAGGACCCCTTGTATGTGACGTGTTAAAAACAATTGTGCTAGATCATAAATAACTCTTTTAAAAATGGTATAACAGGTTTTCTCCTAACCAGATGTCCAAACTGTGGAAATAGTGACCTCTTCCCTCTGTTCTTATTTCACTTTACTTGTGGCAGAGTAACACTGTTCACAGAAGTGGAGGGAAGTGTCTGACTTGGCAGTTCAAACACTTCTGTGCCAGGTGATATGTGAGTTTGTACAGTTTTTGCTGAGGAGGGGCTTGAACCCAGCTCTCCAGCTTCTGACTGTCTAGGCTCACTCTTCAGAAGCTGAGACTCTGCTTCCTCCTGGGCAACTGCAGTTTAGTGGGCTGAACAGAAAGGTGGTGTGTGTATATATACATGGTTTACTCCATGATTTTTATCCTCAAGATGTGTCTTGGGTATTAGAGGCTGTTCCTTTGCAGTTTTGATTTGCCACCTAAATCTTGGAGAGGAACGGAAGTTCTGTATTTTCGCCTGCGTTTGTTTGCTTCCTGTTTTAACTCCAGACTGGCAGTTTTTGGTTGTGTCCTAAGATACAGCTGATGAATTTTGAGCCCTGTGAGATACAATAACAAAAGCTGTGTAAAACTCTTTTTCTGCTTTACTCACAGTCCTCCAAGAGGGCTGTGACCTTTCTGTTCCCCCTCTGTATTGTTACATGAAGGGGCTGCATTTCTAAGCCTGAAAACTACTGCTGTGGGCAGCTTCCTGTTGAGCATTTGGAGGGGAAGGAAGGCAGCCCGTGGGCTTCTGGTGCACCACAGTTCTAGTTCTGCCTTCGAGTTGTACCTGGACCTTGGTCACTGCCCACTTAGAATTCCACATGGGACTGGATCTTCGAATGAAGTTGTGCAAGTCTGTGTTCAGACCGTGTCTGTCCTAAATATTGATTGCTTCCATCCGTGCATGTTTTCCTCCTTGAGCACTCAAAAGGAACAGTAAATCAAAAGTAAAAGTCACTGTGACTGTGCTACACAGGACGGTCAGTCTTTTTCTTATAAAAGAAGCAGGATTCCTTGGACACTTTGAATGCAAGTGGAGAACATGGTATCCAACATTTCTGTTCATAATTCTTCTGCTGCAAACTGGTTTTCTTCTTGTGCCTTGGTTCCATCATCTGTAAAATCCTAGAACATTTTTAAAGCACTGTTAATTCTATTAAAAAAGCAGTATGTTGAAATTTAAGTATTGTGACTACCTTTTATGTTAATACCTTTTGACATTCCAATTGGATGCAAGCTCCTCAGTAATGTAGACAATGCAGATAAATCCAATGCTAGAAGAGAATTCAGCTTTTTTATGCTTTGTTGGTAGATGGAAGTTGGATGTGCACTTTATATCGTTCCTGTTCTCATGAAATGCTATAGCTGCTAAGTTGCAGGATTTCAAAATGCTTTCTTGGATACATACCTTGTAATAGTTAAATATAAAAGAGCCTTTAGTATGTCTGAAGAACACCTACTTTCTTTCTCAAAGCAGAAGAAACAGCCCCAGAGCTGCCATTAATCTATCCATGTTCATCATAATTGAATTGACAATGGTAATTTTCATAAGAGGTGAATATCTGCTGAAGAAACTATGTAATTTATTATTAGAAGTCAATTGCTTCTTTGTCATTCCTTCAAATGTTTAAATTTACCTTGGGGAATTTGGGATACTTTTTTCAGCTAGTAACAATAACCAGGAGCTAGTTAATGTAGTGCTGATATTGTGTCTTTCTGTATGTCCTGTTACTTGTGGTTTTACTTTGTAACCAGTCTGTTTGTCAGTCTTCTAATATTTTCAATTAAATTCTTCAGAGGTGGGAATTCTTATCTTTAAGACTATGTGCTTTGTGAAAACAAGCTCTCTTTCCTATCTGGCCACTGATTATTACTTCAGGAAAGGAATTAATATAATGTGAGTTCAGTCGTTATCAGATGTCAGAGAAATGCACAGAAACACAATGCCCTGAGTAATGAGAGACATTGCATCAGAGTTTGTAATTTGTTTAGTCCCAGCAAACTTGCACCACAATCAAGACTTCTCAGTCCACAAGACTGACAAGAAATGTAATCATTCACAAGATTGCTGCTTCTAGGAGTGGAATAAGGAAAGTTACCATTATATTGTAGCACCATGAAAGTGTTTGGATACAGTGTTGGTGGGGTTCCAAGAAGCAGTGGGGAAGAAATTTATCTCCCCCGTAACTTATGTTTCCCATGTGATGACCTGTTGCTGGAGCACCTTGGTTTACGATGGCAGCTACAGCACAGGTGGGCACTGTGGCCCTCTGGTCACTTGTTGTCTTAGATCTAGAGAAGATCTACTGATCCTACGTATGCATTGGCTTTGGTCCAGGCTAGAGCTGTCGAGGAAGAGGTAAAGGCTGATCTAGTATAAAGTCCAGTTCTAGTCCTTCCCTTCTGCTAGTAAAGGGACACTTCATGCATACTACTTTTTAGCTGTGGAGAAGTGTATCGGGTCTGGCTGAGCTGATTTCCCACTGCAGCCTCCTGGCGCAGGGCTTCTGTGCTGGGAGTCAGAAGGGTGTTGGTACCACCCACGTTGTGGCTACCACTGAGCAGAGCTCGCACAGCACCAAGGCACTTTCTTTAGGGGGGCAGGAGCTTGGGGGAACAGAACCAGCACAGCTGACCCAAAGTGACCAAAGGGACACTGCAGACCATATGATGTCAGCTCAACTACAAAGCTGGTACAAAGGTGGGGGGAGGCTGGCCAGAAGTCACTGTTTTGGAGCCCTGCTTCCCAGGAAAGGCCAGACCTCACCTGGGGATGGGAAGAGAGAATCAATCTTTGGGGTTTTTTTCTCTTTGCTTCCACACACGGCATTGCCTGGCTTTGTTTTCTAATTAAACTGCCCTTGTTATTACCCACAAGGGCTTTGTCTTCATCTTCTTTTCCTTTCCCCTTTTACACTGTGGAGGAGGGAGAGGAAAGGGGGAGGGTGACAGAGTGACTTGGTGGGCATCTCTTACTCAGCCAGGGTTAACCCACCACAAGAGGAGAGCTGGGTAGATGGGGAAAAAGTGTGTCTGAAGACTGCAGAACATAACAAGAATAATATCTTGGGTGATGTTCTAGCAATACCTGATTTTTACAGAATATGTTAGAAGCTGAGACTTTGCAGTAGTTTGTGTTTTGGTTACGTTGTAGCGATATAATCGAGACATCTTTGTTAGTTCTGCTGCTTGTTGAACGTTTTTGAATTCCAAAGGCTGTTATAAATGAAACTTGTTTTCATTCAAGTACATGTTAAATAAAAATATATTAGGGAAAAAATACAGCGCACATTGCATTGGATTGTTTTTTTTGTGAGGATTTAACGTGTGTAAGATTTTGTGGTTTGTTAAAATTTAGAAGCTTGGGGGGGTGCTTTTTAATTAGTTTGTCCTAGAAACACTGGCTAGTGAACATCCTATTTATAAGTTATTCAGAGTGCTTCGTGTGTCTTTTTGCCTTCACTGCATGTGGTGGTCTCTGCATTCCGAATTAACCATGGTTTTGGTTTCTAGTTCTTGTATAATTGTAAATAAACACACATGCAGTTGTCGAATTGCTCTATGCAAGCAGGAAGCAGGGAAGATTGTAATATGTGGTATTGAGGTTCCGATGCTCAAATTCAAGTTTGGTGTGGAAAAGACTGAAAACTTTGGTTTCTTGTTTTGTAGGATTTGTTTTTGTTTTGTTCAGAGTAAAGTTTTTATTTACCAAAATCTGACTCTAGGTTCCTGAATCTTTAGTGTGAAGGAAGGTTTACAGGTTAATTGTCTGACAAAGTAGTTCAATTGTCTCATGTTAATCCAAAAAAAACCCATCTGGATTTGTGGTGAGTTAACCCTGGCTGACCAAGAGATGCCAACCAAGCCACTCTATCCCTTTGGTCAGTTTGAGTCAGCTGCTCTGGTTATGTTCCCCCCAAGCTCCTGCCCCCCATCCCATTGTGGGGGGAATGTCAGAAAGAGCCTTGGTGCTGTGCGAGCTCTGCTCAGTGGTAGCCACAACGTGGGTGATACCAACACCCTTCTGACTCCCAGCACAGAAGCCCTGCACCAGGAGGCTGCAGTGGGAAATCAGCTCAGCCAGACCTGATACAGGATTACAATTGTCTCAGCAGGCCATGTAAAACAAAGTTGGCATGCTTTAAACACCTTTCAGTAATGCAGATAAGTCCTTAACTTGCCACAAAATAAGTTCAAGGTTCAGCTCTAGAAAAAAAAATGAGCACATTGGGTGGATTTCATAATTCTTTCTTTGAAGAGCTGTAATTGTCAGAAACATGGTTGTAATCTGATGTTTCTTTAGTATGTTTTTACTTACTATCATGATTATTGTCTCTTGAGAGGTATTCCATTCACCACCCAAGTCTACATGGTGAAAACCGATATTTTGCAAGCATGATGTCAGATGTCTTTCCTCATAAGAGCACGTTTATCATATCTGAACATTTTAATGTACTTTCTCACTCAACAGCCTAGACAAATGGCAGCTGTCCTTCTACGACGTCTTTTGTCCTCTGCTTTTGAAGAAGTTTATCCATCTCTTTCACCTGATGATCAAACCTCTATCAAAAGTGAATTGCTCTTGATTATTCAGTTGGAAACACAGTCCACTATGAGGAAAAAGATCTGCGACATCGTTGCTGAATTGGCCAGGAACTTAATAGGTACTTTATTTAAGCTGATACTGTGGTAAAATGCTTATGTATTGCTAGTAGTTGTGGTTTTATCGCTTGTTTGCTAGTCTGGTGTACACATTTGCACATGATACACTAAGTGATTTAATGATTTAAACTAAAATCCAGTATTTGTTTATCCTTGATCAGATAAAAATAAGATTCTTCCAACTCTTCTGTTTAAATTGCTTGAGTTTAGGTGAAATTGTATTAAGATTCAGAAATCGAGTTTTGTTTAAATTCTTATTAATGTTATGCTGAACATCTGCATCAGTTTCCTTTTTCAGTGGTGTTATATAACAGTAAGTAAAGAGCTGCTTCTCTTCCTGAGTGCCTTGAGATTTAACATTTCAGCCATATTTTACACTGTGACCTGGACACATCTTCAGATCAGTTATTTTGAAATTCATCTTAGTAGAGATGGCTGGTTGCCCTGCACAGTTGAAATCTAACTACTCTTAGGTTTGCTTACCCTAAAACTTGTTTGTGTTAAATCTAGATGAAGATGGCAACAACCAGTGGTCAGAAGTTCTGAAATTCTTATTTGACTCTGTCAGCTCTCAGAACGTGGGCCTGCGTGAGGCTGCTCTGCATATTTTCTGGTAAGCTTTCAGACTTTGCTCTATTTTTGCAGATGAGCCAAATCATGTCTATAAAAATGTAAGAAAAGCTGACACAATTAACAAGCAGTCGTACAAATATTTCATTTATTCTCTTGTGTTGTGTTTTACTTAACTCTTACATGTACAGTTACAATCTGTAGCTTAAACAACGGATAAGTTTAAAATAATAGTTAAGGTTAAACTGTGTGAATTTTTATTAATGTTTTGGTCTTCTCTTATCCTTAGGAATTTTCCTGGGATTTTTGGGAATCAGCAGCAACACTATTTGGAGGTCATTAAAAGAATGCTGGTTCAATGTATGCAAGACCAACAGCATCAATCAGTAAGACCTCTATGTTTTCTTTTTTAGTATGTCCTGAACATAGAAACTTAGTGTAGCAGGCTCAAACATAAAGATTAATTAAAACAGAGAATTGCATTACCTGAAACTGAGGTACATCTGGAGTTTTGACTATGCCTGCTGCAGAACAAAGGTTCAGACTTTTTCATGGATCTGAAGCTGTGTGGCTGGCTTGTGTCCACAGTGCCTAGGCCTGGACTCTTCCATAGTAGTTATGCTTGGAGAAACCCAGTTGTAGTAGCCCAAAGCAGGGCCAGGAGCTTTTACCAGCAGCACGGGGGATCAAAAACTCCTTGTTAACCTCTGTTTCTGGGCCTCGTGTTTGACAGTGTGGATACATAGTATCTGTACACAGCACTTCTCCCAAACTGGCTCTACAGCAGCTCCCTGAGCTGTTTGTGCATGCTCTGCTGTAAGGGCACGTTAGCAAGCCTTGCTTTTCTGGAAGGCTTCAGATTATTGATTTGTGCAGAGAATTGTACTTTGAAATTTTTCTCTTGTTGTGGAAAATGCTGGGCAAGGATAAGAAACCCTGCTGTGGTATCTGGGCTCAGTTTGCTGCTCCCCCCTTGGATTACTTTCTCTGACCTTTGAAAGGCAACTGGGTAACATTTTCTAAAGTACCACAAGTCATGCCTTTAAAGAAGAATGTGTTAAAACACTTAGATTTTGAAAAATGGGACATTGACACTTGCATACGCATTTGAAATTGGGATGGACATTGGAAACAATAGTTTTCCTCTTTTTTTCTTTTGCTAGAAGAACTCAACCCAAAACCAAACAAAAACAGAACCAGGGAATACTTGCACCTCATGACCTGATAAACAGTTTCTGTCTCATGGAGGACTTAGATGCTGACGATCTTAATTATCGCTTTACCTTAATTTGAAGAAAGATGTAAAATCCCATGTTAAAAACTAATTGCTATAGCTATTAGGAAAATGTAAAAGGGAAATAATAGAAAATGTAGTCTCATAATGGGCCTAGTGCTGAAAGATAAAAAAGGCATGTTTTATTACTGGTTCTTCATGTTTCTTTCTCCAATCCTGCTTGCCTTCTAGATCAGGTCTCTGTCTGCTAGAGCTGCAGCTGCATTTGTGCTTGCTAATGAGCACAATCTTCCCCTTCTTAAACATTTTTCAGACTTGCTACCCGGAATATTGCAGGTAAGAAACCACACAAGTAACACTTAATGTGCCATTACTGTCTATATTGACTGTAACAGTAGTCACCAGCAAGATACAGTGGGAACTGATAAGGAATTTTGTAAACACAAGCTAGCTGATAGGGTTTTAAGGAAAAGAGTTCAATGCTGATTAATTTATACAACATTACCTAAATAAAGTGAGTTAAGATTCTTTGTAAGGTGTTTAACTTAAAATCATACAGCTTTTAAATTAACTACGATATTGACATATTCTTTAAATATGGAGTACCCTGAGATTTCAGGTAATCATAAATTGGGAAATTCATTTGACCCATGATACCTTCTATCTCTTCAGTTTAGCAGAAAGCTTAGAATTATCCTGAACAAAGATTCTCAGAGTAAGAATAATTATCTGGACAAATGATCTTTACTGTTTGATAAATTAGAAACTTGTGAACAAAATGCTTTTTTAAGCTTCATGTAATTTCTGAGGCTGGATTAGATCTCTTTTAAGGGGGGTGAATTTAGGCAGAAGTTGGAATTCTAATGCAAGTTTGTCTAATTTTGGAGGAAAGTCTGTTGTAAATCAAACCAGAGACAGAAGTGGTATGAGCTCTGAAGGACATCAGTTTCACAGTATATCGAGAAAAAAGTGGAAATAACTAAGCACCTGTGACAACAGTGGTAGGGAACTTCTGGCAGTTTTAGATCAGGCCAAGTGTATGTTAAAGACTGACTTCTTGCTGCAGGCAGTATAGCAGGTTCCTGTTGACAGTGTGTAAGCTGTAAACCTTGTCTCTGTGTGTGCTTTGTGGCAAGCTGAAGAAAAATTGTGCCAAGTGTTCTGGCTTCTGCAACTGATGGAATTCTACTTGATCTTAAATAGAAACTGAGAGGAACTTATTAAAATCAACTGAACTTGAAAATGGGCTCTAGGGTATACAAGATAAGTATTTTGATATTGAGGTCACTCTTTGGTGGTTAGTCCCTCTCTGTGACTTTGGCAGTAACAGTTGTGTTGTTCAGAGATTGAGTGGCTGCGAGGACCTTGGCTGCTGAGTCCTGTGTGAGTGGGAGTGAGGCAGGATTCGGTGTGGGCACAGCGTTTGTCTCGTTTGGCAAATGAGGAGTGTGCTGTTTCTAGACTTCAGACTAATAGCTCACTTTCTGTGATACAAGTTTCACTGCTACTATTTTCGGCTGTAAAAACACACGCACTTGGCTTGCATTTGCAGGCTCTATTTTGCAAATATAGAGCACAGAACTATGCTATCATATCTGCCTTTTTTCAGCACTTCTTGTGAGAAGGGCTAGACTTTCAGGCTGCAGTAACACAAGATGGATATGGAGCTCTGAGTTTATAAATAGGAGATGGGATGTGTTAGAATAGTTGTGAGTGACCTTTGGAGACAGTTGGATGCTTTTTTTTTCTTGCTGTTGAAGTTGATTTTGTTGAAATACCAGCATGGTAAAGAACGCTAAAAATAAAATTCTGACTTTGCAATTCAGTCCTTTTAGTACAGTATCTGTAATGGTTATGCTGGAAGTTAAGAACTAATAGTTGAAGCTTGTATCCAAGAGATTTACCTTGCAGTGGAAATAAAAGCAGCTGGAAATTCACTGTGGTTGTTAGTGTTCAACACTACAGAAAAGCGCCTCTGACTTTTAGGGCTCACTGTACACGTTGAACTTCCTTCTCCAGAAACCTGGTCTTGCTTTAAAAAACTGTCAGTTGCCTTGGGTATAAAATAGAGTTCTGATGAAACTTCCAATAAATATACATTATGCTCTGCTAACGTCGTTGGATGAGTGGTAACCATTATTCCAAAGGCCTTAATCAAGATAGACTTTTTTTCCTGATCCTAGATGCTGTTTCTGGGTTGAAAGTGTGGCTGGTTGAGAGGGGTTACCAGAAGTGTTGGATTCTAGGCTTAAGTACTGAAGTACCAATTAATTTTAAAAAAAAAAAATGTTTTGGCATTAGGAAGACATTAAGTACTTTGCTAATGAAAATTCCTTTCAAAACCTCAAAAGTGTGTTTAAAAACTGTTTTTTCTTTGGAGGCTTGGGTTTTCTTGTCCTACTTCCAGAAGTTTTAACACCATTGAATAACTGCTGTTTTAGTACTAGAGTATCAACCTGATCGGTTAAAAATAAGTTTTGAATTACTTTCCAGAATGTAGCTTAGGAAAGATGTTTGGAAAAAAATTGATTTCTTTTTCTTTTCCCTGTATCCTGTGACTGAAGGCTGAAAGATTTGCTTTAATTTGGTGACTCTAGAACTGTCTGGAAAAAAAAAGCCAGTTATTTGATCTTGAGATTCCTGGTGTTAGTGTGAGCTATTCAAAGCTGTTCTTGTGTAACAGGGGGAGAAAAAAGGAATTAGACTCACTTTCCTTCTTTTGGGCAGAGTTACTTTGAGGAGTTTTTCTTTATTTATAATGGATTTTGAAGTTGTGCTTGTCAAAACAGTGTGTGGTTTTGCATGTTGGCACCTCTGAGGTGTGACCTTAATTCTTTCTGAGTGTCTGCCTACTGTGGTAGATTTAAACTAATAAAGGTCAAAATTGATGGCATAGAACATTGTGAGCTGTAACTCAGTTGTAGTTTTGGACCCTGCATATTACCTCTTTGTAGTTGTTAGGGATTTATGCACACTGACCTCTGTAACAGGGTCTGACTCTAGGATCCTCCTGAAAGTGCAAAGTCCAAGTGATGGCTTCTAGTTGGTCTTTTATTAGTTCTCAGGTTACAGCTTGAGCTGGGCACCTCAGAAGAGGGACCCCTGCCCCAATTCCTGCCTTTCAGTTATACCTATACCACCTATCCCCTGATCCTGAAGTCCAGTCACTTAATTCTGATCAGTGGTCTCTTGATTTTTTTGTTGTTGTTGTTGTTCTTTTTTTGCTGTTGCTGCCCTGACCTTCTGAAGTTATTTCATTCTCTTGGAGTTGTCTCCTTAGTCCTAATCCTCTTCATTCTGCTCCTATCTGTCAGATTCAGCTAGTTCTTTGTTAGCAGCATGAGTTTTTCAAAAAGTTTACTCAAAAAAAAAAAGTCAGTTCTTGTGGCCTAAGGCTTCAACTACTTTAAGTGCTAATACTAAACCGTTAATGCTGAATGAGACTATTCAGAGAGACAAGAATACAGTTAATCAAATTTCTTCTGTAACAGTGATTCTATTCATAGTATTATTTGGTGTTTTTCAATCTTATCTTATCTCTTTATAGGTTTTAAACGACTCCTGCTATGAAAACGATGATTCAGTCTTGAAATCTCTTGTAGAAATTGCAGATTCTGCACCGAAGTATCTACGAGCACATTTAGAACCTACATTGCAACTAAGTCTGAAAGTAAAGCTACAAATTTATTTTTTTTTTAAATCAATCTTTCTACCCCCAAACGTCCGTTCTAACCATTTACTCTGATATTCTGGGTTGTAGTTGTGTGCAGATGCCAATCTCAGTAACATGCAGCGTCAATTGGCGCTTGAAGTAATCGTGACCTTGTCAGAAACTGCTGCTGCTATGCTAAGGAGGCATACAAACATTGTTGCACAAACCAGTAAGTATTTTACTCCTTTGTTGAAACAATTTGTCTTCCTTTACAATGTTAAACCCACTTTGCAGGTGTTCAGTGCCAAAACCATGTCTAACTCAAGAGTTTGCTGGTGCTGATAACTTAAGGTGACACTGAATTTATGGAGCAAACCCTTCATAACTTAATCTGTATTTATGCAGCCATCAACAGTTTGAATAAAAATACAGTAGACTCTTCAGTGGGTGTTTCCAAGGAAAATACTACTTTCATGTTTTTCTGCTGGCTTTGGAAATTTGTACTGTAAAAAAAAAAAGGGAAAAAAAATAGTTGATGCCTTTACTTCTGAAGTTCTGTGTTTGAAGTTTGGTATGTATGCCAGATACTCTGTGTTGCTGGCAGCTGGACTGAAGGAATTCAGCATGCTTGTTGAGCTTCAGTGCTGAATTAAAGCTGTGAATTGAGAACCAGATGCTTATATAAATACTTACAGATAGTCTAATTTGTCCATTTAACATGCAGAGATTGCAAATTCTTTGGAGAGGCACTTTTTTAATCATGCATTATTATTTGAGATACTAAAAATAACTGTCTTCTGGACAGCCCCAGCAGCACTGCTGTACACAATGGTATTTCTCTGCCTTTTAAACCTCTTGTGAGTAGATCAGGGCACTGACATAGCAATGTCCTTTTTGGAAGGGCTCTTTGCACTCCCTGTCACACTTGTATTTGTCTAGATTCTTGCTTGTTTTCTGAACCCTGTATAAAGACAACCTGTTTAAGGCAACTTTTTTACTTGTGCGCTCAGTCTGGCAAAGTTACACTATATACACATCACTAAAATAATCATAAAACTTCTGGAAAATGTGAACTTCATCTGCTTGGCTTAAGTGTTTAAACCCTTGACTGAAAGTTTTGTTTACTTGTAGAATTATTTTTTTTATAGAACATATCCTTTTAGAATATATTTTGATATTTGAAAATGTGTAGAATGCTGTTTTCACTCTATTCTATAGCTCGTTGGGAATATTAACAGTTGACACCAAATCAATACAAGCTTCTTCTCTGATCAGGCAGCATAGTGAAGTACCTCATATCTCTTTAGAATGTGTTACTTTTATATTGGGTTGCTGGTTGCTGTTCAGGAATGAAGTATTTGTATTAAGGCACCATGTGGGAATGAAATGCCTTTGGTTTGCAACCCATTGTCAAATTGCTCTTACTATGAACGAATCACTAAGGTGAAAGACATTTCTTTTGCAGAGCTAGTAAAGCTGCTGTGTTCAGAGAACGATAAAAGGTAGCCGAAAAGGATTGGTTTTGTCTTGGGTTTGCTGAAAAGGCTGTTTTCATTCAGTTAAAGCTGCTAGATCCTTTGATCTTCACAACTAGAACTAGGTCTTAGGCCAAACTGTCATCTTATGCTGGTTTTATTGAATGTCATGCTGATTTAAGAGTAAGTCTGTATCCTGTGTACCAGTTACCAGCTCAGGAATTCCATTTGGGTTCAGACTTCCCTCCCTGAGCTCAGTATTCAAGTGTTATTTTGCTCTTTCACTAGAAATTAGAGCTGCAGCCTGTCTTTGGCTGTAGCTTTGCTCATTCTGCAGAAAATGGAGAGTCATGGCAGGCTCTGACAAGAAGCAGAATTAGAAGGTTTATCCTTAACTTGTTTGTAAACAGTCTGCATATTGGCAAGGATTTTGAGGGCTTGTTGGGACAAAGTTGAAACTTCAACACACAACTCAGCAAATTTTTAAAAAATCCTTTGTGAAACTTTACTTATTGGCAACCAGATTCATATTAAACATCGAGAGGAAGCAACATGTTTACAAGCTTGTGCATTTCTGAGATACAATAATGGCCAGAGAACTTTGGATGACAGTTTAGTAACCATGAACACTACGACATTAATTTTTTGGAACCTCATAGTATTTGTGGCAGATGGTGGTTGACTTCTATACTTCCGAGCTGTGAACAATACATAGTTTTCATGTGTGTGCTTATGAGTGTGTCTGAAAAGCTTCTGGGCTATAATGCATTTTTTCTTGTTTTTGATGAAATTCTTTTCAGTGACTAGTAGGTGTATAAAATTCTGATGTGGGCATCATGCTAGAGGGTTCATAGTGTCCATTAAGTTATCTTGATATGCATATAGAAGCTTTCTGAATGTGTTTGCAGCCATGATATCATCTCTGGTTAAAGATACTTAGCCACGTCAGTCAAATCAGTCCATGATTTTGTATTTTCTTGCTACTTGCCCCACAATACTGTCAGTGAGCAATATTTTTCTTCTGTAATCAGCTGACCAGAAATTTCCTATCTGTCCAGGGGTATGGTGAGGTGAGTTTGCTGAGGGTTGTACCTCTATGGTAGATTACAGCAGCATAAGTATGTTATGAAATTCACCAGTTGCCATGTACCTCATCAGTTGTGGTAAATATCAGCAGTAGCACAGACTACTGTAGTCCTACTAGTTTTTGAGGTAGGTTGCTGTAGAGGACAGTTAACTATGATGCCTGTCTCCAGATTTGTGCTAGACTGTCCTAAAAAGATTCTTAAAGCTCAAATGTTGAGTATTTGATGGAAAACTTTAGCTTCATGGACAAAGTGAAGCTTTTTTTCATAAATCATGCGGAATTCAAACGACTGCCCTGAGCAGTTAGTGTAACACGGAGTCAAGAGTACTGAAGAGCACCTTAATTTTTCTGAAAGAGCAGGGTACACTTTCCACTCCTTGAGCTTCTGAAGCATGCAGGAACAGGCAGGCTTACAAATGGCTGCACTCCTTCCTCCTGGGAGGACAGCTGGCAAGAAGAGGTGTTGCTTGTTGTGTTGTAGTCCAGTGTAAATAAAGATTGTGTAAAAGCCTCTGTAAAAACTTACACTGAGAAGAGTAGAAAGAATCAGTCTACAGAGGTAGAAGTAGAAAACTGATGATTATGTGCAAGACAGTTTAATGATCAAAAATTTGCTTTAAGTGGGGGAGGAAATCTCAAGTTCTAAACCATTACCTTAAGGTAAAAGTAAAGCTTCATGCTAAGTGACCACTGTACATGTAGTTCCCAAAAGTTACCATGTCAGTAAAACTGAGGGTTATTCTTCCATCATGAGTATAGCCTCCTTCCTCAGTAAGTGTTCAAAAGGTGATGTCAGAGTTTCAGCAAAATGAAATATATCTGAGTTCTTAAAGCATATAGTACTATTTTTAACTCTTTCAGGGAACTTCAACTTTATTAATGAGTTTACTTTTTCCAGACTTCATGATTTAAAGAGTCTTGCATTGCACTATGAGTCTTGGAAAGAAGTACTCTCAATTTTTTTACTCTCAATTTGAATGTTCTGTAAATACTTTTCTGAAAGCCTGTTCTGAATTATTGGCTGATGTATTTTGACAGACTTGGCTATCTGTTACTGGAACAAGAATTATTTTTCTTCAAGGAAAAAACTTAAAATTTAGGTTTGTTATTTGAGAGTCTTATTTTAAAGAAGCAATCTGAGTTTAAAACTTTTTTTTTTTTCAGTTCCTCAAATGTTAGCAATGATGGTTGACTTGGAAGAAGATGAAGACTGGTCAAATGCAGATGAGCTTGAAGATGGTGACCTTGACAGGTAATTATGAAAGTAGTAATTTCAATATAAGACCAAGACTGTGTGGCTGAAGATAGATTTGAAGTGCAGGATGCAGATGACAGCAGTGCATTACTTTTTCCTTACTCGAATAACTCCTGTAATTTTGTTCCCTCAGTCAGGAGCAGTATATATGACTGTTCTCAGATAGTATATGTGGGTTATTTAGGTGCTGTTCAGCAAGTAAATAAATTCTTTTGGTATTTGCGTATTGCTGTAATTTACTTCTAGAAGCTGCATGTCCTCTTGTCTGGCTATTTCACACTGTTTTAATTTTTCGAACTTCTATTTCTTCTGTCGTTTATGTTATTCAGTTCAGAAGTCATTGCTTCCTAACCCTTTAAATTTAGGGTTTATCCTGAAGTTAGCTGTAACCAAAGCTGAAGGAAGGGAGAACCGCCCACCATAAG